GATCATGAATCAGGCTAAGGCCATATCCAGCCTGACATAAAAAAAAAAAAATCAATAAACACTTGATGTATGAATCTTTGAATGGGGGGTATTATGACAAGAAAGATGTTTTCGAAAGACTGAGTGGAGGAATAAGAGGGAGCAGTGATACCAATGAAGAGTTTATTGGGCCAAAACAGGTAAAAGTGAAAAGGTTCTGAACTGAGGTGGCAGCAGCTTGAATGATAATGAAGGCACAAAAATAAAAGATAACTGTTTGATAAGAGTCAAAAGATAGGAAACAGATAGATTGTGAAAAGCCTTGAAAGATAAGCTAGGAGTCTAGAGTTAAACCTGCACCTTCTAAAGTAGTAAGCAGGGGAACAGCTAATTTGTATTTCAGAGCCATCATTCTGTTGGAGTGGGAAGTCAGTTAAACAACTACTACAAACCAGGAGGAGAGGACAAGGCTGAACGTACACATCAGCAGCGGGAATGTACATGATAGCAAGGAAAAAAAACCAAGCCAACACCCGGATGTGGGGTTGGAGAAAAGGTTAGAATATCATCAGGATTTTAGCTTGGAAAATCATGTGGCTGATAGAGCCAATAGCAGAGAGATGAATGAGAGAAGGTGCAGGTTTGGGGAAATGCAAGAATTCATAATATGTGCTGAGATCAAGGGGACTGTAAGACACAGAGGCAGAAATCTCTAACAGGCAACTGACATCTGGATGTGGAGGTTAGAATAGACAGCTGAGTCAGCCACACTGATGCCAAGTGTACACAAACCACTCAACCAGAGCACGAAAAATGATCACAGAGGACAGAAAGCTGAAGTTACAGATGAGATGGGAAAGACCTAAGCATGTTCAGAGCCTATGGTGAAAGTACCTATAAAAAGGAGAGGGGAGAAAACATAGTAAAGAAAGGAAAGAATCAACTATGTAAGCTTCTGGAGCAGAAAGGAAGGAAAGGAATTGAGAGAACAGGAGGAGGAACTGGCCTGAAACCAAAAAAAAGAACATAACCCCCTCTAAGATTGATAGGAAAAAAGGAGGTAAGCCTGGAGCAAATGAGGGTACATGGGTGGGCAGGGTATTTACAGGGAGTAGACACCTAATAGTATTAAGGGTTCTAAGAAGTTGGAGGGTGTTACAGGCTGAATTGCATCTACCAAAAACTCTTATGTCGAAGTCTTAATCCCCAGTACCTCCTAAAGTGATCTTATTTTGAAAGGGGGATTGTACCAATGTAATTAGTTAAATTAAGAGAAGGTCATATTGAAGTAGGGTGAGCCCCTAATCTAATATGACTTGTATCCTTGTAAAAAGGAGAAATTTAGATAGACAGACATGCATTAAGGGGAGACAATGTAAAAAGACACAGAGAGAAGGCAGTCATCTATAGTTAAGGGGAGAGGCCTGGAATGGATCTTTCTCTAACAGCCCTCTGAAGAAACTAACTCTGCTACCCTTTAATGTCAAACTTCTGGTCTCGAGAACTGTGAAACAATAAAAATTCTGTTATTTAAGCTACCCAGTTTGTGCTACTTTGCTAGGGAAGCCCTAGAAAACTAAGGCAGAGGGAAAGCCATCTACTAAAGGAGGAAAGGGTGAAGGCGGGTTGCAAGAAGGCTTAATGGGAGTGAAAAGGTTCCACAGAAAACAGGCCAGTGGCACAAGGACACATATGCAAGATGGTCCACGGGTGCCTGAAGTTCCAGCTAAGGCTGGAAATAAATTCATTTATAGAGTAATTTCCTCAAGCAGCTCTTGGCAGCCACTAGGTAAGATAGGAAGACACCAGGTCAAAATCAAGGGCTAGCAGCATACATTACAAATGAAGTACAAAGGGGTAAGGCCATTGAGAATATAGCAAGAGATTGATATGCCCTGAGTGAACAAGAAAGGAACAAGAAAGGAGCAAGAAAGGAACAGGGGAGGAAGTGTTATAGATTATGAGAATGAGATGGGACAGGCAGAGAAGAAATCATCTAGAAACTGGAATCCAGCAAAGAAAAGATATAGGGAATACAGCAGCAGTGAGACAGCTAAACAGGAACGATTGTTAGCGGGATTTAATGTTTTAAATCTAGGACAGTCCCAGTAAGCTGCAGTTCCTGCAGAAACCAAGTAAGCATAAGGTAGGTATGAGATGAAAGTCAGGGAACTCTCATGCTAGAATATTGTATTACAGGGTATGCATCCTCTATATGGACACTGAGACACGCCTGATGATGAAAGTTAGGGTAGAGAAAAGACCAACCCAGCTTCCACCATGTGCAATAAATAGAAAAGAATGACCAGAAGTATAAACAAATCATATTTGTATCTAACCACTTGTAATAATCCATTTTCACACTGCTACAAAGAAATACCTGAGGTAATTTATAAAGAGAAGAAGTTGAACTCGCTCACGGATATGCAAGATGTATCCTAGTGACTTCTGCTTCTAGGGAGGCCTCAGGAAGCTTCCAATCAGGGCAGTAGGCAAAGGGAGAGCCAGCTTCTCGCATGGCAGAAGCCAAGAGCAAGAGAGCAAAGGGGGAGATGCTACACACTTTTAAACAACCAGGTCTCACAAGAATTCCCTCACTATCACCAGAACAGCACCAAGGGGATGGTTCTAAACCATTCATGAAGAATCAACTCCCATGATCCAATCACCTCCCACCAGGCCCCACCTCTGACATGAGATTTGGCAAGGACACAGATCCAAGCCCTATCACCCCTAGATTCTGGTTCTCATAAAAATTGCTGCATGGCTGGGTATGGTGGCTTACACCTGTAATCCCAACACTTTAGGAGGCTGAGATGGGAGGACTGCCTGAGACCAGGAGTTGAGACCAGCATGAACTACGTGGTGAGACTCCATCTCTACAAAAAATGCAAAAATTAGTCAGGTAGTAGTGTATGCCTGTGGTCCCAGCTACTTAGAAGGCTGAGATGGGAGGACAGCTTGGACCTCAGAGGTGGAGGCTGAAGTGAGCCATGATGGCACCACTGTACTCCAGCCTGGGTGACCATGGGATACCATCTCTCAAAAAAAAAAAAAAAAAGTAATAATAACTGTCACCGTTATAATCCCTGGTATTATATATTTCTATAAAATAACAAAGAGGGACACAGACTAGAAGCTAAGATCAATGTACACTGTCTCCATCTAACAGAATTGTGGGACACAGACTAGAAGCTAAGATCAATGTACACTGTCTCCATCTAACAGAATTGTCATATTAAACATAAAATAAGCAAGTTAACCTATAAAAATGTGCTTGGGGCACTCATAGACTAGATGTAAAATTTTAAAAATTTTTATATGCTTTTTACACATTTTCCTAGGATTTGAAAAAAATATAACAGCTGGAAAATGACAGAATAAGTGTTGGCAGCCTTCTACATTGCAAACATAAAATAACTGACCAAAGCAGAGAAGAATTAGAAAACTCATACATGATCACCCATTTTTAAAAAAAACAAACAAAGTGCTTAATTATCTGGGTCATATGCCATGAACATATGAAACTTCTTACATTTCAAAGGTTTATTCTAATTGCTAAAAATTTTGTATTTCTCACCAAAGAGCCAGGCAGAACCAACACTTTGTTCTGCCAATTACCAAAGGTAAAAAACAGTGGCATGAAGCAGAACTGCATGATTTAACCTTTTAATTTACCCACGAGAATAATTCATGAATTGCTGTAGCTATCACCATTTCCAACTATTTCTATACACATACATTTACACCTAATTAGAGCTTTTATCTCCAACGTTCAAAAGATTTTATATGTAGTAATTTTACATTGGTAGAGATTACCTGGTTTCTGACCTTTCATATATTATCATTAATATTCTAAAATAAATCATTACATAGAAAATAAAATTCAAAAATTCACCAGAAGTTACAGTGTAGCTATTGTTCATTAGTTCAGGAAAAATGGGGCCACTCACAGGACATGGTCTGGGCATTTCTTGGGGACACAAGGGTAAAACGACATTTGGAAAGTTCTACCATAGTTTCACAGATGTGAAGTTGACACTTTACCCAAGACTCTCATCACAATGTCACCAAAAACATTATGTCCACTAAAAACTATGACACAAAATACTAATCTTCTTTCACCTTCAAGCTACCTTAACCATGTGTTTCTCTAATAATTATGTAGCCCCTTCATTGTGGCCAAGTACTGTGCCAAATCCTTCCAAACATCAAGAAATTGGAAGGAGAAAGGGACTGAAACTAATAAAATTTTACTTGGGGTATCTTTAGAAATGATTAGTCCATCCAAATAAAAGCCCACAGAACATTAAATGGCTAATATTTAGTCAGGGACCAAATACACAATGAATGAAAGGTAAAATGATCATTGGTAGAATGTCCTCTCTTCAACTATGACTAGCTTCAGCAAAATTCCCTACTGTTTGCTTATTGTAAATACCTAAAGGCCTCAATACTTAACTTCCAAATTGTTCAATATAAACACACACACAAACACACACACACAGCGCAGTTTACAACAACCATAGTTCCTGAATATAATTCCAGTCTGGTTTTGAAAATTATCAGATTAGACTGAAATCATTGCATTTCAGTCTATGATTAAATAAGTCTGTATTTCTTTTTCTCCTCTGTTTAAGGTCAAACAATTGACACACACTCTAGAGGAATCCTCTACACAAATCAGGGAGTAGCTACTAAACTCCAGCTCAGGCACTCTCTAGAAGAGGCCACTCCTTGAGATAAGGAACCCTCTAGCTCATAAATACTGAGTAAGGAGAGTTGCCACACCTTACTGCATACCTAAGACACTGACCCAGCCCTCAAAGTTTTAAGACTCAAATCTGAATTGATTCCAATGGACTACAGAGTTCCCCAGCTCCAGGAAAGAAATAGTGAAAAACAAGTGTTCAAAAAAATTTCTACTATTATAATCTGAAAATAATCAGAGAAGAACTCAGTCCTGTGTATATAAGCACAGTTTGAGTGTTTTTTTCTGATGTAATAAAATTATCATTTTGATTTTTTTGAATAGTTCATAAGTGTGATGATTGGGGTTTCACCTCATGGGTAAGACGTGCCTCCCTCAAACCTTGTTACAAGGTCAGCACACTACCTGTCTGACATAAAAAAATGAAAAAAAATTGTAATCTTATGATGTTACATTGTTTAGAATCCTACATTTAGAGCTAGGAGGCAACCTGAAGATCACAGTCCAACTGATTTTACAAATGAGAATGTTGAGGCCAGGGTAAGTTAAATGACCTGCCCAAATAACTAGAAAGTGGCAGATGAGAACACACATTGCCTGACACCCAATTCATCACTCTCTGGACTCCTCTACGACAGATATTTACTCGTGTTCAATAGATACTTGCTGAATGTTAGTTATGTGCAACACACCCAGAGATTAAAAAGTTGAATGCAATCATCCCCATATGGAATCTAAACAATGGTGGGTTTTAGATAATATTTTCAGTCTTAATATGCAAGTCATCACATAAAGCTTTATCTGAAATTTCAGAGGAATATCTGAAATTAATTCTCCTCATAGCTGTAATTCTTCATTTTTAATCCTTCCATCTATTCTGGAGCCCTTCCAACTACAGAAGGTGGATATGTCAAAGTAAGAGCATCGATGATGATGATGATGATGATGATGAAGGCAATGAAGATGATAATACCAATTATGAGATATTCACTGTATGTGAGGCATTATTCTGAAACCTTTATATCCATTAGCTTATTTAATTCTCTCAAATACCTTAAAGGGAAGATACCATTATTATCTCTATTTTACAAAAGATATGAAATGAGTAAGTCAAACGCCCAATCAGAGGGTAGCCAAATTAGGGATTATACCCCCCGCATGCCTTCATTACTACTATCTCCTAGCTTTTCTGGCCTTGAGTCTTTCCTTCATTAGCTAGAAATTACCTGTCCCTTCTGGTTCTAAATTTCTTCATCTGTGAAATGATGCAGTGGGAAAATTATGATTTCCAATGGATCTTCCAAGTTCAGCATTCTGTGATTTACTGATTTGTCATAGTTACCAATCTCTTGTGGCACAGAGGAAGGAAAGCACTTAGCAAAAGCTAAGAATGATTTTGACCCAAATTACAAACTCCAGACCTTTGACTATACAAAGGTTTCAGAATAACAGACAAGGGGCAGTTTTGACACCTTTAACCTTCATCTGGGCTCCAATCTCAGGTGCTTTTTTTAAACGAATCACTAACAATAGTGTTTAAGCAAGAAAAAAGGTTTTCAAAATTTCTAATGATGATTAGGAAGAGTTTGTAAAAACACAAGAAAATACAATGTTATTGGATCAAAGAAAAAAGCAGGATATAATAATTGGCTGCTTTCTTAAAACATGGGGAAAGAAGCAAGAACATTCAACAGTTGTTACATCTGGGTAACAGGATTTATGAGATTTTTCTTTCCCCTTTTCCTTTTCTTTTTTTATGTAAGCTTAAATTGCCTCCATAATTACAGGGGAAATTTTCTTTATAAAGAGAAAAACAGTGCCAAATATTCTCTATTGATTTCTCCTGAAAAGAAAACACTATCCTGAAAACATCTCAATATTAACACTACAGAAATTCCAGAAATATAGGTTTAGAGGAAAACTTCATTATTGCACACTATGAAGGGACAAGAAAAGACTCCTCTATTGCTTCAAGCCTAGAAGAATTAAGTTTTTTAGAGGATGTCACAGGAATGCTGGCAGGGAAAGGTGCTTTGGAGTCCAGGGACACACAGCTTTGTAAAGCTCAGCCCAGGAAAAAGAGAACAGGTGCAGCAGATGAAGCAGCAGACCGTGACAGCCAAATGACGCTGGCCCCATCCAGAAATCCCAGCCTGGAACAGGTTCTCCCTGAGCAGACCTGCCGTGCACCACGGCCAGCCACATGGCCAAGGGGACTTTCCATGAGCACAAATGCCCTTTCTTCACTGAAGCACTGCAGCAGAGGGAAGACAGGTAGCATATTTCATGGAATATGTAACTATTAAAACAAACCAAATCACCAAACCAATTTATGCTTTCATCAGGTATTAGGGTAAGCACATTGTATAGATAACACCTATGTTCCTATATAAAAACAGTCTACATACACATGTGGCCCAATGTACAACACAGATCAATCAGTGTGGCTTAGGATGATTACAATGAAACACTTCACTTTTTAGCACTTTGAAAACATTTTGTGAACATTCATTACTTCTCTGGTGATTCCCACAAAAATTCAGGAATGACTGTAATTTTAAAATCACATTTAGGATGCTATTAATTACATATGAATCTTCTGCCTTGCTTGAAAAGGATTTTATACTACTTTGTGGCAAGTAGATCAAGACAGATCTGATATAGAAAGAAGAGGGAAACTAGAATAGGAAAAGTCAGCTCCTCCTTTGGGAGACTGACAGACAACATGTGGCATCAACGACACATCACACCCTGATTCAGCTGAGGTCTGCAAGAAGCCATGGTGCCCAACTTACCAACAGCTCCAGACTTGCCTTAAGCACACTGCATGTCTCAAGCACCACCACCAGCAAGAAGGCAACAACACAAAGGCCTGCATGTGTCTTCTAATTAGTTCGTTTATTAACTGAAAAAGACCTATTTCTGTTACTTGCTACCAAAATTCATTTAAACAATTATTTAAAATTTGAAAATAACATAATGTAACTAAATAAACAAATGTCGTCTCTTGTGTGTTTTAAAACCTTTTTTTGTTTCTAAGTACAAAGTTGGCACCTACTGACCTTACCTGGCAGTAATTAAATACATCTAACATTAGATAAAGAAATTCAACCTACCTCATCAAAGGTGGTGTCATCTTTCTTCAAAGCTATAAAATAAGAAGGAAAAGGAAACCGTTATTGTGAAAAATTCCAAAGAGACTCTATAAGTTACAGAAAACAGAAAAAAAAAAAAAAACAAGGCAGTATGGTGTTTTCATTTCAGAAAGTAAATTGTACCCCAACCTGAATAACAATGTTATGATACAAAAATGAAAACTGCAAATGAAAGAGAAAGAATTGCAGAGCATGGATCTTTTTGAACATTTTTCATAAATATGCAAATAGAACTGTCCTCCTAGATAGAAGAAGGAAGCACGCATAACTTTTCCGTATCTCTTCTTTAGTTGGAACATGTTTTAATGAAAGTATAAAGGAATCACAAAGTAATCTTAAAGGAATTTCGCATACATCATCAACTGTTAGGATGACACCTACTTCTCATAGAGCCCTGAATGACATTTTCATACTGAGTGAAGTGTAAGTATGTTGATGAAACACTAAGTGTGTTAAAATAAGCATTGCAGAGTAAGAGACATAATTCAAATATTTCAACATAAATTTTATAATGAAATATTTCAAAAGAAAAAAAACATTCAGAATATTTTATAGGAACCAGCAAATACTTCAAATTTATCTTAAATAGAGTCATGTGTCACTTAACAACTGGGATACATTCTGAGAAATGCACCATTAGGCAATCACATTGTACAAACATCACGGAGTGTACTTATACAAACCTAGATGGTATCACCTACCACACACCTAGGTTATATGGTATAGCCTATTACTCCTAGGCTACAAACGTATACAGCATGTTACTGCACTGAATACTATTGGTAACTGTAACACAGTGGCAAGTATTTGTGTATATAAACATAGAAAAATGTATAGTAAAAATACAGTATTATAAGCTTACGGGACCAACATCATACATGCATGACTGTTCATAGCTTCAGAACTGGAATTTTTTCACCCAACATAGAAAGAGAAGAATTTCACCTACAGTTGGCAAACACCTAGTTCCTTACATTTTACAATTACTTGGAATATTTCATATTAAGGAGAACGCATTAAATCGCTAATTTATCGGAAACTACTAGCTGGAGAAATGTTTCAAATTTATAGAATTGTGCATAGATGTTTGCTGGCTTATACCTGATAGTTTTGGTCTGGATAGAAGCAACTTGGGTAGCTGTTACTCAGAAAGCTTTGTTCTGACAAAAGCAATGAAAAGCAAATTAGTCTGGCAATTAAGCTTTGAGAAAAGTAATGTGCCCAAACTGACGCTACCGTATAAAAGCTTAGAATACATATTTAACAATCATGAAAAGGTTATTTTTCTGTTTCATGTATTTGTGTTTTCAAGAAGAATGTGACTGTGGTGAGTAAAGGGGGATGCAGGTAAGCTGAGAAAATAAAATGTTTCTAAAAGTTTCTTATTTTTCCCTTTTGCCTAAAAAACTGATCTTTCTTTATTGGATAATCATTTCTTCTGAAAGTGAATGGAAAATAAAAAGATAGTTATTTGCTGTAAATAGCTTATTTTACATTCAATTACTTGTACATTTTGATTATGTATTTAACTAAACCTACATTAAATCTAAAATTACCTACATTAAATTTAAATCTGTTTTTATAGAACAATATTAAGATTCTAGCTAATTCCTAATGACTACATTTTCACTAGAATTTAACTTCTAATCTACAAGGCTCTGTATAAATACCAGTCAACAATATTTCTATACTGTCTAATTCCTCAACCCAAGGCATGTCCTTTAATTAACATGCTTGACTAATGAGTCCTTCACAAAACATTAGTAATATAATTCTAAATATAGACAAGTTGCTCCATCTGAAAAACTAAATGTTTTGGAGTAAGAAACTAATAGCCCAATGATTTCAAATACAAAGTCTAACATAAGCAAATTATCAGACAGCCTCATACCTAGCTCATTTAACAAAGATTAATGGAACACACACAGTATATAACTGCCATGCAAAACGCAAAGCTACAGCAACAAATATATAATTCACAGAACAAACTTTTAAGTATACTGTCTTTGCCGGGCGCGGTGACTCACACCTGTAATCCCAGCACTTTGGGAGGCTGAGGTGGGCAGATCACCTGAGGTCAGGAGTTCAAGACCAGCCTGACCAATATGGTGAAACCCCATCTTTAAAAAAAAAAAAGTATACTGTCTTTATTTTGGATTATGAAAGTTCTGGAAATTGAGCCATGTGTTTTCTTAGGCAAAGCATCCAATAAGAACTACAGTTGATACTACCCCACCAGGTACAGTGGTTCACGCCTGTA